TTTCTCGACTTGGACCAATAGTCGAGATCTCTTGCGGGTCGGACGACCGTAATGGCCTAGTTCCGCAGGGCACGTTCGTAATGGAGATATGCGTGTGGGGTAGGCTTTGCGATAGATAGAATCACCGTCGTGGGGGGAGAACAGCTCTAGATCGGTAGCCCCAAACTCCGCTTGTGTTACAACACCCCAGGGGTACTTTTGTTGTGCTCCTGTTAACTGCCATAACTTAAAAAAAAAAGAACTGCCGCCACACGCCTGTAATAACTTGTGTATTTGCATCCAATTATTTGATTCAGTTTTTGCTTTGTTTTATTAAATTTGTGATATTCAAATATTTGCATTGATCCCAAACAGATGTATAGAATTTTCCGTTTATTCGTTTTTCATATGTGTATGTCTGTCAATTCGCGAGTGTTTTCTTTCATATATCTTAAGGTCTTTGAAATGTAATATGTCCGAGAATAAAACAAAAGGGGGTTTTTGCGCTGAGGAGTAAATCTTCGCAGCATCTTTCCTCCTGTAAGGGGGTGCCGTGCTCACCCCTCCAAAACAATTTTGTCTATTATTTCTTGCGCTCTCAACTCACATGCAGTATATGCTCACTTGTATGAAAGAACGTCTTCCCGCCATTTTTCAAAAACAAAAAAAAACACACAACGTAGGTTCCTATTTGTTAGACGATCACAGCCACAGCCAAACTTTGAATTTTTTAATTTTTCGCGGGCCTTTCACTTTTTCAAGGTCAATTTAAAGGCGGGAAGTTTGGGTTATCACAGAATCTAGGATGTGAAAAAATAGCGCTAATCGTAACTTTTTTGGTCAAAATCAAGACTTATGTTAGCAAGTACTAGCCCCGCCCACTCTATTTTCCTGGAAGGTATGTCATTTGCCAAAATAATTCTTATCTTAGCAAGTACTAGCCCCGCCCACCCGCTCTCTATTTTCTTGGAAGATATGTTATTTGCCAAATTCAATCTTACCTTAGCAAGTATTAGCACCGCCCATCCATCTTCTTCTCATCCTAACTACTAATTTTGTTTCTGTTCATTATAAGACCATTCATTTGATTAAGATCGGATAAAATCAGTCATTGAAAAGGAAACAGGGTGGGTGGGTGGGGCTAATTATGTTCTTCTGTCGAGTGGGAATGGAAACTAATAATAGAATCTAGGATGTGAAAAAATAGCGCTAATCGCAACTTTTTTGGTCAAAATCAGTCTTATCTTAGCAAGTACCAGCCCCGCCCACCCGTACTCTATTTTCTTGGAAGGTATGTCATTTTCCAAAATAATTCTTGTCTTAGTAAGTACTAGCCCCGCCCACCCGCCATCTATTTCCATGGAAGATTTGTTATTTGCCAAAATCAGTGTTATCTGAGAAAGTACTAGCCCCGCCCACCCGCCCTCTATTTTTTTGGAAGATATGTTATTTGCCCAGTGGCGGCTTCTCAGGTGAGGCAGGTGAGGCAGGGCCTCACCATACATAATCATAAAAAATGTTTTTCTTCCATTAGTATGAAAAATGGATTTTTTTGTACGGGGGAATTTAAAATTAGCGCGACAACTGAACTTTCTATGCCAACCACAAAATAAAGGCGCAGCGTTATTCTAACCAATCATGTATTTTCATGCGTTTAGGCCGGCCTCACGGGTTGATCAAAATGTGGGAATAGGAGGTTCGATGTTTTTACAACGCACAGTATTACCGGTTCCGTTTATTATGGGAATCAAATGCTTTAGGACAGATAGTTTTGAGGCCGGCCGCAGCTCTTATCTGATTGGTTCTCCTTCTCAGCTCAGTCCACGTGCACGTGTGTTTTGCATTTTGCAGAGTGCATAAATTTTAAATTTCAGTCGTTGTCGTTAACGAGTTCGGTACTTGGTTAACTAGTGGATTGTGGATACTCCGATTAATTTTATTTGTAATTAAATAATAATGAATATGGACGCAGGCCCATCTGGTACTCAGGTAATCTCCACGGTTCGAAATACAAATGACATTGTTATTAACTTTCTCGTGAATAAATGTCCCTCCAATAAGTTAACATACGAAGATAAACTGTTTGTAAAGTAAAGCAAACGTCCATGTCCAGATCTAAGCGTAACATTAATTCAAAGAGAAAACCAAAAAAACAGGGTGTTCAGTCTCAATTGGTATACAAAATATGATTGGCTTGCTGGGAGTACAACTGTGAATAAACTTTTCTGTTGGCCATGTATTTTATTCTCGAATAGTGGAGAATCGGTTTGGTGAGAAACTTGATATGCAGATTTGAAAAATTTGTCGCGTTCCTTGGAAAAATATTCCAAAAGTAAAGATCACATATCATCTACTTCCAAGTTTGTTCTTGTCGGCCAACAGAATATTGCCAGTACTCTAGATTCTGCTCGCAAAATTGAAATAGAAAATTTTAATGTCAAAGTTCACGAAAATAGGAAAATTATTAAAAGATTAATTGATGTTGCTATATTTTTATGCACACAAGAGCTTACCTTTAGAGGACATGACGAGTCAGAAACGTCTTTCAATCGCGGAAATTTCAAAGAATTAATTTCGTTGTTGAATAGATATGACACTTATATGGGAAATTTTTTGGAAAAAGATTCTGACAATAAACCCGTGTTTTCCGGTACTTCAAAAATGATTCAGAACGAGTTAGCTGAATCAATTTCTTTTGTCATAAACAAGAGCATTAGCAAACAAATTTTTGAAGCTTTTTTTTTTCCTGGCAGATTGATGAAACGACTGACATAAGTTGTAAATCGCAATTATCAGTTATTTTTCGTTACGTTATCTCCGGTAAAATTGTCGAAAGATTCATGGGGTTTTTCGATGTTAGTTCTTGACGAACTTCTGAAGGTTTATTTCAATTGCTACGTAATTTCAGTAAATACAACCTACAAGATAAATTAATCCATAAGTATTGTTATTGTTTATATTATTTATAAATCTTTTTTTTGTTATTTACCACGGTTTTGAAGCGGTTGTTCGAAAACTACAATTTTTATTAACTTTTCATTTTACTTATATTCCTATTGTTTTGCCACATTTTTTATTTACCTTTGTTTTAAACCTTCCACTTGTTATCATTCTTGTTTCCTATTCTGCCCTATCCTTCTTTCTTGGCAAGAAAACTCTACACCTCCACGTCGGTTCTTGCCGGACAGTTGATTATGTGGTGCATTTTTGTTAATATTTTTTTATGTTAAAATTTCCTGTGATCAAAAAACGCCGAATTCGTGATAAAATAAATTTTCAACTAGTATTGACGTATAAAACCAACTTACAATTCCAAATTTCTTAAGTAAGTCGCTAAGTGTGGGAAAAATGGAAGTGGAATTTTTTTTAAACTCAGGTATCGCTTTCAACTAACAGAGTAGAGTAATTTACAGATATAAAAAAAAAATATATGTATTTAACTATTTTTACGTCATAAGGTGTGGCCTCACCAAAATTTTAGGTCACGAGCCGCCACTGTATTTGCCAAATTCAATCTTACCTTAGCAAGTACTAGCACCGCCCATCCACCTTCTTCTCATCGTAACTACTAATTTTGCTTCTGTTCTGTATAAGATCATTCATTTCATTCAGTTCAGATAAAACCAATCACCGAAAAGGAGACAGAGTGGGTGGGCGGGGCTAATTGTCTTGTTCTTTCGGGTGGGAATGGAAACTAACAACAGCATCTAGGATGTGAAAGGAAAAGCGCTAATCGTAATTTTTTTGTTAAAATCAGTCTTGTCTTAGCAAGTACTAGCTCCGCCCACCCGCCCTCTATTTTCTTGGAAGATATGTTATTTGCCAAATTCAATCTTACCTGAGCAAGTATTAGCACCGCCCATCCGCCTTCTTCTCATCCTAACTACTAATTTTGTTTCTGTTCATTATAAGATCATTAATTTGATTAAAATCGGATAAAATCAGTCATTGAAAAGGAGACAGGGTGGGTGGGCGGGGCTAATTATGTCCTTCTGTCGAGTGGGAATGGAAACTAATAATAGAATCTAGGATGTGAAAAAATAGCGCTAATCGTAACTTTTTTGGTCAAAATCAGCCTTATCTTAGCAAGTACTAGCCCCGTCCACCCGTACTCTATTTTCTTGGAAGGTATGTCATTTTCCAAAATAATTCTTGTCTTAGTAAGTACTAGCCCCGCCCACCCGCCCTCTATTTCCTTGGAAGATTTGTTATTTGCCAAAATCATTCCTATCTCGGCAAGTACTAGCCCCGCCCACCCGCCCTCTATTTTCTTGGAAGATATGTTATTTGCCAAATTCAGTCTTACGTTATCAAGTACTAACAGCGCCCATCCACCTTCTTCTCATCGTAACTACTAATTTTGCTTCTGTTCTGTATAAGATCATTCATTTCATTCAGTTCAGATAAAACCAATCACCGAAAAGGAGACAGGGTGGGTGGGCGGGGCTAATTGTCTTGTTCTTTCGTGTGGGAATGGAAACTAATAACAGAATCTAGGATGAGAAGAGAAAAGCGCTAATCGTATTTTTTTTTGTTAAAATCAGTCTTGTCTTAGCAAGTACTAGCTCCGCCCACCCGCCCTCTATTTTGTTGGAAGATATGTCATTTGCCAAAATCATTCTTATCTTAGCCGTCCGATCGCCAGCGCTATTGCAGTCATGGTTACAACTTCGGTAATTCTTAATAACAATTACTACTTTTTCTAGTTAGATTTTCTTCAGTTATACGAGTTCTCCTAGACGTTAAAATGCTTTAAAAATTAAAAATGACTGTTCAATATCACAATTTTCGTGATGATCTTGACCAGATAAACCCTGAAGTCCATCAAACGCCACTGAGGTTGAGACTGCACAGTCGGCCAGTCAAATTTATCGCCTGACGTCGCGCCGTCGTTTTTAAAATTTGTCTGATTGATTCCCCATCACTTCGGCTGTGCCTAACTCTGTTCATTACTAATCAATACTTTTATAATTACAAATTCTATTTTTCATTGACAACAAATAATATGATACAAAGTGAGAACACATAATGAACCTGGTTACAAACGTCAGGGATGTTTGCATTGTGGGTTGCATAAGTTTGACATCCATTATAAATGAACCACAGTAGTATTACAAATTACAACAAGTACTATTCTAATGATTTTTAACACATGTAGCAGTTGTAACATTTATTTTCAATAGAAAAATACTGCAGAAAACAAATGAGAAACAAATTCCACTTACTAGTAACAAAAATATGAATATAACTATAAAATAGTTATTTTTAATACAATTCTGTTTCATATGTAATAATCTTTTTGTGTACGTTACTAACTGGCAGGCCATTGAGTCTCGCGTAAAACTCTTTGCACGTTTGAATGTTAAACTTTTTAACAAAAAACTCCCTAAAAACATTTCGCGCTAGTTCTACCAATAGGGGGATTTCTTGAAAACTCTGTACCTTCGAATAACCAATCATTCGATCAGTTTGGTAACAAATTTCATCTAATTTCGGATGGACGAAATAACTTTGTAATACATAAATACTATCCGCATAATAATCACCCCGTTCTTCGAGAAAACGTTCCACATTCATATTAATATCATACACAAAAACAGGCACCACCATTTTTACGTCTTCTTCTTGAAAAAAGCTCGTATCTATGTCCATGTGCAAAAGAATTTTAAACAATTCGCAGTAACCGAATACTCTATATATAGCATGCAAATCTAACTCTCCAATATCCAACCCATAACCTAATAAATAACAGTAGAATTGAGTTATGGCAGTTTCATCATATCCAAGTCCTATCAAATCCTCAAATACGTCCCTACTATTGATATTATTAATAAAAGTTAGCACACTTGGTCTTAATTTGCTTTCGAGCATCACATTTAAGTTTTCTAAACAAATAACCTTGCCCGCGCCAGTCCAGTAATTAGCGTTTGAAGATGTTTTTCTTGAAAACACCTTATTCATATTGTGGCCACATTTTTGAATAACGAGATGCAGACAATCAATGCTTATGGAACACAAAATCCGAAAGTAGAGATTTAAAAACTCATACTGAACTGTTATTTTAATAGGGCATTGAATAATGTGGTAGAACAGTGGTGATTTTGCCTCAGCAAGCTGTAGCAATACTAGCAGGCGCAACTCCAGGTTCGAATACTCATCATAAATGTACAAAAATAGAGTTTCTTGTACTTCAAAAGAGTTATTACTTAAAACAGATTGTTCAAAGTTAAGGACCGTAGGTTGTGCTCCACACACCAACAGAGTCATCATTAGTTCGTTATTTTTTTTGCACAAAGTTCTGGTAAGAGGGGTGTCTTGTTGAGAATTGGGAGCATTAATATCAGCCCCCCGTTCTATAAGGAGCTTAGCTGCTCTATAGTAACCACGATCTAAGGCACAGTGTAAAGGTGTACCTCCTTCAAAATAGACGTTATCAATGCAGGCACCTTTTTTGATTAGTTCATATACAAAATGCTCCCTCGTCCAAATATCGTTATGACTTACATAACGATCAAGTGCAATTACCAACGCTGTTTGTCCTTCTTCATTCACGAAGTCAAGGGGAAAATCCGGAATGGATAACATATAATCAAAAACTTCAATCCTAAAAAACGTGAACTTAGCTATTTGTAAGTTTTTGCAAGCGACATACTTGTCTGTAAGAATTGCTATTTGCAGTAAACTGTAACCGCAATAGTCTCGAACGTTATACCATCTGGGAGAATCGAGGAGGTCGCTGAGGACGCCCACTTGGTTTTGGACGACAGTGGCGATTAAACGACTTTTTTTTTTAATCTAGGGACAAATTGGGATTATGCTGTGTGAGTTTTGTGCATAATTACCAAAGGGGGGCTGTAGTACTCATCTTGGTTGAATTGGAAATAATCATTTTCGCACTCAGAAAGGTCAGAGTCTGAAGAAGACATATTCCAGTGGGTTTCGCTGAATTTTGTTACAGACTTGTTTTTTCATTCAAAATGTTTTTAGTAGTACTTTGGTTGGCGTTTATGTTTACAACTGTTTAAGATCACATTATGAGTTAATTTTGAAGTAATTATCGTTAACTATGTAATATTTTTCACTTTTCAGTGGTTTTTTTCATAATAATTATCGAAATAAGCATTTAAATTCTAGGTTAGATTTCTGAATTTGTAGCCAACCTGAGTGAATGAGTGACATGAGACATGTTGAATATCCCCAAAAATATTGGAAAATATTTAAACATTTTTACCCATTTAATGAAAAAAAAAATTTTCTATGTACAAAGAAATACTACATAGTATTATTTAAAATGTGTGAAAATCAGCCTAACTGATAAATACAGCCCTTTGATAAAACTTAATAAAGTAGTTGCTTTTCCACCTTTTCGGTTCACCATTTTGCATCAGAACGCAGTCCACCATTTCAAAACACAACGTACCTCAAACACGTATGTATTTAATCAATGCTTCTGACTTTCTTAATTTAAAATCTGTAGTTGAAATGCTTTCATTAAGGGGACTCGCTAGACGAGGTATAACATTTTTTTGGTTTTTTGTATGAAAAAATGATAATAAGATAGATGTATCATACATCAAATTCCAGCTTTTTTCATATTCTAGAGCGCAGAGACCAGTTCAATCAACTAAAAAAATATGGCTGAGAAATATCGTAAAAAAAGCACCATTGTATGTTTTCTTTTCAAGTTTTTTGAGTCATAACCATCATAGAATCGCTTGAAAATTCGCACATGGATAAAACATCACTTTTTACAGGGCGCAGAGTCATTAAATGTTTGTTAGTGGTACAATTTGTTTAAATAATAATGTGTTTATTAAAATCAAAATATATCACAAATTAATGCAAAGTACGTCGAATAATTTTAACAGGAATATCACAGGAAAATTAATGGTCTATTGGTTAGCAGAGTTTTTAACGAAAACTAACAATTATTGAAAAAAATGGGTATCAATTCGACAGAATTTGAGCAGTTAGTTCAGTACTTTGCCGATAGGAGCGCCACTAAAATTTACGGAAGCGACTTTCCAGGTAAAACCCTTATCGCCTGCTCTACCATAAGCTGATTGTTGGCGTTCTCGGCTGATTTTTCTAATTTATGGCAAGGAACTCAGTTTTATAATAAGCCGCCAGGACCGGCCGTAGTAATCTATTGTTAAGGAAATTAACTTTTACGCAATGGGGTACTATCATAAAACCGAATTAAAACTGGGGAACTATAATATTTTTACTCCACTCAGGATCCTGAATTCAATACACATGATTACTAAAAATTTATTGTAATATTATTGTTAATATAATTATATTTTGCATTGTTAATTAATAAAACTAATAAACATATTTATAATAATAATAAAAAATATATAAAATACAGCTTTTGTTTAACACGTATAAGTAGCTAAGTGTATCTACTACTTATTCCAGAAAGGAGGTGTTTTAAAAAAGCCCTACGCCCAGTAACTTCTCCCTTCATTGTTTACTCGAAAAAATTGCTCGTATATGTTTTCATTTCTCGAGAGATTATTTTCAAAATATATTTATAATAAAAATATGCAAGTCTTGGTGATGAAAAATGTACTCCTAATAAATTATTAAACTACATAAAAAAATAGAAACAAATTTTATTTATTTAAAAAAAATCTCTCGCAAAGGCAGGTTCCTCTTTCTTCTTAAATCAATTATTTCGGGCAATAATGCGCCAAGTAAAATCTGCCAAGTTTATCTGCCATCTTTTTACATATATTTCTTCGTCTTTATAAATTTTTTCTATATTTATTCCTTTGGGTGTCCATACAACAAAATAAACTTGTGAAATACCCGTAACAAGCATTTGTCCCTAGACTTGAAAATAGTAATCATGATTTTTTTTTAGTTTCAATTCTCTGTCTGTCAATGTACAAAATTTGATTTTTTTTTTCTAACCGCTTCTTCGGGAGACAAATCTTGCGATTTTGAAGGGCATTTAATTTCGACTAATGCACTCCTATCCTCTAGAACCCTGTCTGGACTAGCAGCCAAGTAAGGAAATTGTTTTGAAATAAACAAACCACACCATTCAGTTTTTATATTTTTATTTATTTCAAAACACTTGACAGCTTTTTCCTCACTTTGCTGCCCATAGTATGTATGACTATTACCTCTAAATGTACTGTACAACAGAGACTCCACAGTTTTAGCTATTGCTGTAGTCGGTCTAAGTTTGTAAATACGTCCAAAATTTGAAGCCGTAACCCTAATTTCTCTTTCTTTCGCCCAAATGTGCCTGTTGCCTAGTGTCTATTTCAATTTGGTCTAAATTCAAAGATAATTTTCTCAAAAAAACCTCTGGCTGTCACAAATGTTTCTACATCCATGATAGGATTTTCTAAAAAATATTTAAACCATAATCGCAGTCGGGACCAGTATATGTAAATTTTTTTACGACATATTTTTTTATGAATACCTTGTCTAAGACGAGCTTGTTTTATAGACGAACAACATTTTTTTGTTATTAAACTAGGACCGTTTTAATCACAATATATTTACTTATCCCCTCTAAAAAATTGATGACCTCAACTCAAAATTTTGCTGAATAAATCCTATCTAAATTGTATAAAATATGATGAGTCTCTTCTTGTGATTTATCATTCCATTCATGTTTTTTGGATTTGCATATACAGGTGACCCCAAAAATTAATGAATGCGTAAATTTATTTTATTGATTTAATCAGGAACTACAAAACCGAATGCTTTGAAATCTAATGTGAAAAAAAAACATAATAGGCATGCAGTCGTCACGTTTCCGATAGCGAGGGAAGTACTGTCTAAACTCTTTAGACCAATTTTTTTGATTTTCCCATTTTTCGATTTCTCAATTTTTCAGTGTTTCAGTTTGGGATTTTTTCACTGTTTCGATTCTTTAATTTTCCTTCCATTTTTAGGTTTTTCAATATTTCAGCTTTGGAATTTTGCAATATTTCGTTTCTTCAATTTTTCAAATTTTTGATATTGTGTTTTCTCGGTTTTTAGATTTTTCGATATTTTAATTTTTCAGTTTTTAAAGTTTTAGGTTTTTAGATTTCTCACTATCTCGACTTTTCGATTTTTCAGTTCCATGATTTTTCAATTTGTCGAATTTTTAAATTTTAGATTTTTTGTTCTCGTTCATTCAATTTTCTGAGTTTTCAGGCTTAGATTTTTTTTTGTTGTTCAATGTTTGTTTTTTAAATTTTCCTATTTATCAACTTACTGGGATTTCAATGTTTTGATTTTTTTTTGATTGTTCAATTTCTCGATTTTTTGAATTTTTAGTTTTTGATACGATTTTTTTTTTCAAAAATTTTCAGTTTTTCAATTTATTGACTTTACGATATTTCAGTTTTACGATTTTTAAATTTTTTTATTTTTCAGTTTTCAATTTTTGATGTTTCTAAATTTTTCGATTTTTCAATTTTTCGATTAACTGATTTTTTGATTTTCCTATTTCTCTATTTCTCGATTTTTCAATTCTTTCTTCAATTGTGATTTTTCAATTTTTCGATTTCTGAATTTTTCAATGTTTCAGTTTTGGATTTTTTCACTTTTCCGATTCTTCAATTTTCTTTCCATTTTTCAGTTTTTCAAGATTTCAGTTTTGAATTTTTTCACTTTTTCGATTTTTCAATTTTCCTTTCATTTTTCAGTTTTTCAGTATTTCAGTTCTGGGATTTTGCAATGTTTCGGTTCTTCAATTTTTTCATTTTTTGATGTTTCGATTTCTGGGTTTTTCAATTTTTCGATAGGTATTTTAATTTTTCAATTTTTAAGTTCTAGATTTTCCGTTAATTTTTTTTGTTTTCCTTCATGTTTTGATTTCTCTATTATTCGATTTTTTAAGTTCTCGGTTTAGATTTTTTGGATTTCCAATTCTTCGATTTTTAAATTGTTTAATTTTTAGATTGTTCAATTTCTCGATTTATAGATTTTTCAATTTTTCGGTTTACCGATTTTTTCATTTAAAATGTTTCAATTTTTCAATTATTAACTTTCGATTTTTCAATTTTGGTGTACTTTAAAAACGGTATTAATAATACATTTAGGCGAATAATAGACGGGCTTGATAAGCTTTGTTTGCTCTACAGTGTCTAAATTGTGTTTGAATAATATAATAATTATCTCGAATATTAAACTTAATATGTCAAAAGAATACGAGAAGTGATTATTCTGTGCTGAAGATATGCTGTGGGCCGCCTGTCATAAATTATCATTATTCTGCATTATCGGCTTACGACGCTTTTATGACCCACGTCCCGTAGTCGTCTATCCCAGCGCGTCAGGTAGATTAAAAGAAGAATTGCTGGTTGCGTTCAAGGCAACAAATGGCGCCCAATTCAAACTTGTCTCTCGTCTAGCGTTCCCCCTTAACAACAACTGAACAAGTGTTAAAGTTTCAAAGAGCAATAAACAACATTTAGATTCGCCATACAATCTTGTGAAATTTTAAACAACAACTAGTTTTTATGTGAGATTAAAGTTGGACATCAAATAATTTATATGATAGAAACATTCATCAACAAAGTATTTACAAAAAAAAACTTAGCAAGGATTTATGAAACAAGAGATCTGGTATGAAATGAACTTGTACAAATAGAAATATTCTGTGAGGTTAAAACTGTAGAACATGAAATTTACGTCCAATTAAAATTATACAACAAAGGAAAATTACTGAGGTTAAAATTGTGAGATTAAAGAAATATTGTATGAGGTGGAAAATTGGAGAGTTAACAAAATTTACAGGAGATTAATATTTGCCACACTTTATCAACGGTTCAAACAAAGAGTTTACATTATGTTAAATTATATCATGATCTAAATGATTGGTTACTTCAAAAAAACAATTTACTTTGAGAGTTTAAAATACCGCGAACTAGTTACCCCAACAAAACACATAATAAACAAACACAAAAATATCCAGTCATCGCTCCGAGGGAAAAAGCGTTTCGGTGATGTAAATTTTAAAATCGTTGCGAGGAAAAAGCGTCTCGGTGATGTAATCAATCTGTAGCGTTGTGAGGGCATGCCTTGAGTAATTAATCAATCTGGCGTTGTGAGGCATGCCCCGATGAGTTAATCATGTTAACGATGATAACCACCTAAGGGAAGAAAATATCATAACCCCCGCCAGTTCGCAGTATAATGAACTTGTTTAACTGCCGTAAATTAACTAATAGCAATCTTGTGTGAAGAATTTAGAAGTGTTATAATGTAACGCTTACGTATATGCATCCAGAAGCTTATTCGTAATTAAACAATAAGGTGTTTTCCTGACTAAGTGAATTTCATGAAATCTTCTAGCAAGTGGTTTATTTAAATAATGCTGATTGTTAAATTGTGTTTGCGCTAGCTGACTATTAAGAAAAACTAATTTGGTTGGTGAATTTACAAACAATGAAACAAATTTACAGCACGTGTTTCGTGTGGACCGGAAGTTCGCATTTTCCGATTAAAAGGCCGCAAGAATTGACCGCGCAGGTTGGGGACAACTGTATCATTATGAAAATTACGATTGATTGTCGTTAAACAAAGGCTTCCTATCGTTTTATTAACTACCAAACCAACTAATTTAAACCTAGCGCTTACCACGTGGTAACACTCACACAAGCACATTCATAATGACGCTACGCCATGCAGATTCTCTACCAACCCTCTAACTGAAATCACCCTAGCGCTACGTGCTGCCATCTAACTCAAAGATCACGCATTAACCCGACATGTCTATTTGGTTGCCTATGTTTAACGATTCCCTTTTCGTGATTGAATTTTTTTTTTCAAATTCAAATTATTCAAATGTGATTTCGCGCCGCTGTTAATTAATTTCAGCGCGAAAACTTTGATTTAAATTCGGTCACCACATTGTTATCACCATCAGTTTTTATTTTAAATATGTATTATACACAAATGCGTTTGTATAAAAGTCCCTTAAATAAGTTTCAAAAGCCTACTCTTTTAAGTTTGGTTAAATAGTACCTTAGGGCCAACTTCATCTGCATACTCAAATTGCAAGTACCTATATTAAAAATACATCACAGTATTATGTAGATTGGTACGAGTGGACCAATAGCTTACTGTTTGCCACTGTAAAATTGTTTTTGTTTCTTCTTGTTCTAGATCGCATTATCTAAAACTGTTCATAAATTGAACAATGGGATCCGTCGTATCGAGGCATCCTTTTAATAACCTATTCTTCTCGATGAGTTTGTTCGTTAATGTTACTAATTGCAATTAATCCTTTCGCTTTAAGTCACTCAGGCTATAATTTGAGTTTAAGGTATGTGATGACAGCGTGTAATTCTAACACCGAATTCTTGTTTTGTTGCCATTAACCTCGTCGATGTACAAAACATTCAAAATAAAATGCTTCTTCAAACGAGTGTTTTATTTAACCTATCGATTCGTAAGTGCTTTTGCTTGACAAAATTAACGTTGTAATACACATTTGAAGTAAAATACTTATTCTTCTTTGTTTTGTTTGTCAGAAACGCGACGACTTGTTCCTAGACGATTACAAACGCTGCGACAATTACGAGACGTTACTTAGAGAACACCCTCAGACTCGGATACAATCCGAATTGGTAAAGAATGTTTTAGTCGTTGTTCCAAAAAATAACCTGCAAAATTTCAGGACGAAAAAAGGAAGCGTTTGCTGATTGCAGTTACTCATAATGACATACAACAAGTGAAAGCGCTCTTAGATTCACCAAGACTGTATAAAGTTACTGACAAGAAAGGCGAAAATTTACTGCAGATAGCGATCATTCGAAACAAGTAAGTGTTGCCAACGTCATTATTGTAAGATTAAATTTCTCTGTAGTGCAGCCGTTTTCGACTATTTGCTTTCGCTCGAAGACTTCCCTTTGGAACTGGTCAACAGCGACAAAGAAACGGCGTTAATAACTGCCGTTAGTGGGGGTTTAGACGACAATGACTACTACTTTGCGGAACAGTTGGTGAAAAAAGGGGCCAATTTGCGTCAGATGGAATATTTAACCAGAACAGTGTGGTACTACTCCATTAAAAACCCTAGAATGATTAAATTGTTGGCGGAAACGGGGGCTGATGTTAACACTTGGCACAGACATTTTGAAACATCTTTACATATGGCTTGTCGCTGCAGCAACGACGAAGTCGTGTCAATTTTGTTGTTTTTTGGAGGTGATCCGCTCACCAAGGGTCATGAGGGCTTAATCCCTTTCGACATAGCAGTCCTACAGAAAAATCGCTTCCAACAAAAACTTTTGTTTAAATATACGTTTGACGCGTTCTCTCAATTTAAAATAAAGTGGAGGATTCTGCTGAAACTCGCTCGCCAGCAGTCGTCTCTATTTGAAAAGTTCGATCAATTGGTTATGGATAGATCGACGTATAGTATGATCATTGTTGAAGTATATTATAGTTGAACAACCTATACGGACAATCACTTTCCCATGTAGAAAAGAATGAATATATATTTTACATCTCACTCGCTTCACTATGAAGTGGCGGTACCTTACAAAAGGGGGTAAAAATAGTCCGTAAGCACGTGATGTCGATAAGGTAGTAAATGGACGTATTAAGGCTCTACCACACCTCAAGAAAATTTCTATTTTAAAAGATATGCAACTTGTAAAACACCCATGCTACCTCGTTATGACAGCTGCCACTCATCTCTAAGGGTTAAAATCGTTCACCTTCGTTTCCAATAACTAGTTTTATTACTGCTTTGTCAGCGGGGGAAGTGTATCCCGGGTTGCAGGTAGAGCAGAGTAAGGAACTAAAATATTTATCTACTATGAAAGAAAACAAACAATATTTCTTAGCTTACGTTCGAGAGTAAAAACGCAAAAACACGTCTACTGGTATATAAAAATTGCCATTTTGTAATATTAGTTTCAAAAGTTTTGAGCGACATTTGACAGGTGTATGACGTCATCGATAATTTTTTAAATAGCACCTCCTACTTTTATTTTAGCATAAAGTCCCTTGAAAGAGAATTTTTGATATGCGGTTTAACATAATTTACTGTCATAAGAAATGAAAAAAGCCAAATGTGTGTTTTAAAATAAATTAATATGATCATTGTCAGAGACTGTTGAGATCTTTACTCGCAATACACACAACAAAAAAATGCTTGTTCATATACAGCCTGTTATTGAAAGGTACGTACAAAATAAAATCGGTAATTGGTTTCGAAGTATGGGTGCAGAAGCAGTTAAAAAAAAGTTCAGGTAAAAGTGTTCTCCTTTTAGAGATAAAAATTATTAAAATATATGTCCAAATTCGTTGTACGCCTCTGATAAAAAGATCATCTTTCGTTTCTATAGCAACATTTAGTCTTGACAAAAGTTTTATTGTTACAGTTGCTAGGATTTACTAAAATAAATTAATTTTACCTATTTTTCCTTCAGTAGCGTCTAAAAAGGTTGGATAAGGGTTAATTTTCCCCTTATAATTTTGTTAACACAAAATAAGTTTTTCCGACTTCTTAGACTTTGAGAAGAACTGTCCATTTTGTTGTACGTACCTTTCAATAACACCCTGTATATAATTCCGACCATAATTCTTACTCTTATTTTTAAATTCCTGTTTCCATAAAAATTCGTACGCATTGGGCATATTCTGTAAGTAGGTAGAAAAGTAAAATTAAATTTCCAAGAATATTTTATTGTAGGTACGAAGGTACGTTATTGTGAGTATTTCTTAGTAATGTTGGAATTTTTCAACCCAAAATCTTAGAAATTTAGGTAGGTACATACCTAGTTACCTCTCGGAATGTATTTTGAATGAAGCAAATTGGTCGAAGGTTATTTCGACAGAACTTCTCTCGCCTCTGAAATACAATAAAACAAACCCAGCTTTTTCGAAAAATTATAAAATTTTATTATGCAAATTTTATTTTTTTGTGAGAACCCGGATAAGTTAAAATTTTTTCCAAAAATTCTAGATGTCTAGGGTGAAAATTCTACACGGATTTACACACCACAAGTGCAGGAGTATCTAATTTTATAAAATTTAAAAAACTTTGTATTATAAATTTTGGAGATGACGTCATCCCATTGGTGGTGGAGATGATTTGCCAAGTTTTAGTTAGCGTTTAATCATCTGCATGATATTTCTAATATACATATAAAATATGGCAAATCCAGTAGTTTCGAAGAACACTTGTCTAATAAAAAATGGATACAGACTCCAGACAGACAGATAGACAGATAGACAGACGGACAGACAGACATACGGAAACGGGAGACCACTTCTTTCGTACTCTGGAGGTCATGACACGTCGAGAAATTAGTACTGGACGTAGAATTGTTGACATAGACCACTTATTAACAACACTGAAATCAATCACTCATAATATGTTGGTCTGTACTTTAGACAATATTGAAATAACTTACGAAAATTGTTATGGTTTAAAACGTGTTTTCTACTACAAATGTAATATGTACGGAATATTCGGTAATTTTTGTACAGAACCTGAAAATCATATATACAAGGTCAATTATGCAGCTATTTGTGGAGTTAGATCAACGGGCGTGGGTTATTCTCAAATATCAAAATTTTGTTCAGCTCTAGATATCCCTCAAATACCCCAGGCGACATATCGTAAAGCCGAAGTTAGAGTTCTAAAGAGCATCGAAGCACTTTTCGAAGAACAAACCAAAACGCAGGTAAAGAAGAGTACCGATTAGCTGTGAAGGCGAGGGAGGTAGATAATGATTGCGTCCCATATATTACCGTTATTGTCGATGGAGCTTGGAACAAATGCTCTTACAAATCCAATTACAATGCACTGGCTGGGGTAGGACGCAAAATTGGTGCCAGAACTAAAAAATACTTTATGTTGGAGTCAAAAACAAACTTTGTAGTTTCTGTAAAATCTGTATGAAACAGAAAAAAAAATTCCAACTCATAACTGTTTTAAAAACTGGGAGCAAACATCTATGTCCATGGAAGCTTCAATTATCTTAGAGGGATTTACTTTAGATACTTTTTAGGAGAATTATAGGCGACGAGGATAGTAGCGTATTAAAAAAAGTTCGGGCTGCAAAATCATATGGTGCATATTATTTTATAGACAAAATTGAATGTAGAAATCACATACTTCGTAATTATTGTTCCAAAATTAGAGAAATAGTTAAAACAACGAAAGCAGATATCACTATTAAAAATGTTTATAAAAAATAGTATTCTAAAATTTAGAACAGCTATTATAAGTGCTATTAAATTTAGCAAAAATAAGCCTCTTCCTTTTTTTCCAGCATATATTTCGCAATCACGAACAATGTGCAAGTTATTTTTGTTATAAAAGTGGACAGTCAAATGATATTTTATTTTCTACTTTCGCAAATGGTGTTTTATACGAACCTTACAAACAAGTTTTAAATAGAGTTGCAACTTTGTCGTCTAGTTTACTTTTTGATATTGAGAACAATGCTGTGGAATGCTACAATTCTGTCGTTAATAAATTTGTGGGAGGAAAAAGAATAAGTTTTTCTGCACGAGGATCGTATCAAGGGCGATGCTTTGCTGCGGCAATAAGTTATAATAATAAGGGTACGTTCCTAATTCCGTTATTCAAAAAAAAAAAAAAAATTGGGGAGGCCAATGTTAGTATACGAAGGCGTTTGTGGAACAAAAATTGAAAAAAACAAAAACGATTAATAAAACTAAAACCTCTATTAAAAAATTGCGTATCCGAATTCTGGATTCCGGTAAAAATAATATCGTCAACGATGAACAAACGAAAACGAAGTGTATGAGAGAAAAAAATCGGATTTATTAATAAAGCTGTCACAGAGTAACGTAAATGCTATTGAAAAAGGTACTTGTGGTCAGCGAATGTGTAGGGAATGGAGTAAAAAAAGGACAAAATGAGAGACGGAATTAACATCGCAAATACCGTTAAAAGTATTGTGCATTCCGATAAAACTTTATGAAAAAATTGCCCAAGTCTATAGAATTTGCTATTGACAATGAAGAAAAGGCCAAACAAAAATTTGAAGCTCTAACAAATTTGAAAAAAAATTTTAGGAGCTTCTCCAGATGGGTTAATAAATTCTAATTCAATTGCAGAGATTAAATGTTCATATGCGGCTTCCAGTAAAAATATTAAAGAGCTATTAAAAATAAAATCATTAATTTATTGTTCAATAAATGCAGTTATTACAATTACCTAGTTTGAACCCGAACCACAACTATAGGTATGTATCAGGTATAACAGGGTCCAGTGCATATAACTAAAAGATATATATATCCTTCTTAATGCTATTGTCAGGTACTTCAAAGAGTGGTCAAATAAGCTTAAGGTATTTAAAAGGTGCTCTATTGTGTGGGCCATAAATTACAGCTTACGGCTTCAGCTAATATTTTGGGTTGCCTAACTTACCAAAATTTGCCCAAAATGCTTAGCAGTTTTTTTACAATAACTAAAAGAAGTAAAATTTTAACAGAAAACGATGAGTGGCGCCTAAAGTAGAAAAAAATTCTCTATCACCTCGATATTTTTTAAAAGCACACCGAGTTATAGTTTTCGCTAAAAATCCGCTGGGGTTTTACGCACTTTATTTTTTATTTTAAAAACTGCTACGTTTTTTAAAAAATACAAGACGCTTCCTTAAAGATTTTTATGTCATGACCACGCACATGTATCGCCCTGCTCTTCAACTGTTAAAATAAAGGCGCAAAATGGGTTGGCGTTTTGCCTTATTTTGGCATCTTTTAATGACTGTGTGGCGGAGCCTTTTAATCAGTAGGTTGTACGGGGAGCAGTCACAAAATAAGCAAACGTACGTGTTGAAGACTTTACTGTAATATATGTATATGTAATGCATACCTGTTTCAAGGTTAAGGTAACAAAAATTTAATATTATCGCGGTATACCTATTATCCATGAACTGCATGGCTAACAAATATGCGTCCCTTCGTCCACTTTAAAGGTATACGAAATTAAACGACCACTACTTTAATTAATAAGTAACAAGTCATCTAATTTGCCTCCAGAATAACTATGGATTATCATCAAACTATGAACATCAAATTAATTCAATATGAACATCTTCTTACGTATTTTTTTTATTAACAGTAGTCAAATCATTAAATACATATTATTTTTGAAACTAAAATGTATTTTATCCTAAGATTGTATCACAAAATATTCATCACTATTTAAATATATACGATTTAGACATCAAGAAATAAATTTAAAATTGCAAAAATTATACTAAACAGCCTTAAATGTGTCTTGTATGTACGTGCTTATCAATATGTAGGCATTTTAACGCACAGCAATAAACGTTCTTGATGAGTAATGACTGATGACTACTGTAACACAGTAAATCCTCGAAATCGAAAATTTAAAACACTGAAAAATTCAAATATGGGAAAATTGTAAAATCGAGAA